ATGAGGAGCTTGCCAGCCTTAGGGTTCGGGGGTCAGGGGGATCCAATCACCGACGGCTATACAATGGGGCTTGGGGGCGACGATCGCGACACGACAATGGTGCCGGCTGAGACAACGGTTGGGCGGGGCGGCGGGGGCGTAGCCTGCCTGGGAGGTGGGAGAGGGCAGTTGGGCGGGGCTGGCGGCCGGTGCACCACCACAGGAGTAATCTATGGTGGCTCTGTCATTAATAGGGGAGGGTAGGGTCGAAGAGCGATGGTGGGAGGTGGGCAGCGTGACGAAGCTGCCGGTGGAGATAGTAGAAGCCCGGGTGCGGCGGTGTAAGAACCGGCAGGGCGGGGGCAGCAGTAGCGAGAGTACCAGCACCAAGGAAGAAGATTTCTACCATGAAGTCTTTTCTCTTTTTTTTTAAATACCATGAAGTCATTTCAAAATTGCGTTGTACTGCATGATGCAGCCGGTCTATTGGACAACTACTAACAAACTAATGGAGAAAAGAAGTTCTACCGCCGGTTTGAAAGCAGACGACACACACTAGGGCGAAAAACCAATGGTGAAAACTATTTCAATGCTAGGTCGGCGGATGATCCGGCAGTGAATACCATGGTGGTTACAACCGCTGGATCATATGGCAAACCAGCGGTGAAAATAGTCTTCAGTATACGTTTTTCGCCCACTATGCCGCCTAGTAACAAATAGGCGGAGAAAAGAAATTTCACTGCTAGTTTAGGGATTGAACAGGAGGTGAAGAAGGGTCAGGAACAAAACCCACTTGCCTCTTGTTCTTCCTTGCTCCCTCCACTTTCTTACCACCAGCTGCCACCTTTCTTTCACTATTGCTGGGGCCATTTTCCACCAATTTTCTCATGGAGAATCTTAATGATCGAAGATGAACATGAGCACACATCACTTTGTTTTTTGTAAGGTAGGTAACTATCAACCCTTTAAATTCCTACCTTACTCCTTTAGCGAAATGTGTTGGAAAGCATATTTCTTCCTTTTAGAGGGATTCTTGTACCCAATTGATCGTGGAGATTCCCAAATTTTGAAGTTCTTTGTTGACACCAACTTACTCTATGGCTAATATGTAGCATGCATCTAGTTTAGTTGTTAGCTTCTTTGTTTGGTTACATTATTTCCAATATATTGAGCTGAATGTGATGGATAGCATCTTTAATTTAATTTGAGTGTATTGCAATACATGTTTTAATTGTGTTTCATATACCTTTCTGCTTCTTTCACTTTGTGTTGCATAAAGTAGAGCCACGTACTTTGAAGTTGACTCATATAAGATATCTGCGCTTCAAAAACAGCTTGCTGGTTTCATTATGGACCAAGTCATGAATTCAAATTGGGATCATCGTGTTATTATCTAATCAAGTTGCAGCTTAATAATCTCAATGAAACATTAGTCTAATAATCATTGACACTATACTATTAAAACCAAAATGGGTCAATCACCCTCCCCATATCCCAACCCTAATGGCATTGTCCCAAAATCTAATCCCCGCAAGTTCTCATGTCGGCGGGCATGGCGGAGGTATGGATCCATAGTGAAGTTGGTAGAATAGAGTTGAAAAAAAAGTGAACAGAGTAGTCCCAAATACGTCCTTAAGTCTAAACAAACACACTGAAACAAACCAAAATATCGGCACTAAAATATTGGCCGATATTTTGGTTTGTTTCGGTGTGTTTGTTTAGACTCAAGGGCCTATTTGGGACTACTTTGCTCCACTTTTTTCAGCTCTATTCTACCAACTTCACTATGGATCCATACCTCTTCCATGCCCATCAGCATGAGAACTTGTGGTGATTGGATTTTGGGACAATGCCCTTAGGGTTGGGATGGGGAGGGTGAAAGACCCATTTGGGTTTTAACAGTTGAGTGAACGATTATTGGACTAATGTTTTCATTGAGATTATTAAGCTACAACGTGACAAGATAACACAATGGTCCCTATCTGAACTCACGACTTGGTCCATAATGAAACCATGAAGCTGTTTTGAAGCGCAGATATTTGACGAGTCAACTTCAAAGTACGTGGCTCTACTTCATGCAACACATAGTGAAAGAAGCAAAAAAGGTATATGAAACACAATTAAGACATGTATTTCAATACACTCAAATTAAATTAAAGAGGCTATCCATGACATTCATCTCAATATATTGGAAATAATGTAACCAAACAAACAAGCTCACAACTATACTAGATGCATGCTACACATTAGCCTGAGTAAGTTGGTGTCAACAAAGAACTTCAAAATTTGGGAACCTCCACGACCAATTGGGTGTAAGAATCCCTCTAAAAGGAAGAAAGATGCTTTCCAACACATTTCGCTAAAGGAATAAGGTAGGAATGTAAACGGTTGATAGTTACCTGCCTTAAAAAAGGAAAGTATTGTGCTCTTGTTCATCTTCGATCATTAAGATTCTCCATGAGAATATTGGTGGAAAATAGCCCCAACAATGGTGAAAGAAAGGTGGCAGCTGGTGTTAAGAAAATGGAGGGAGGAAGGAAGAACAGGAGGGAAGTGGGTTTTGTTCCGATCCCTTTTTCACCTCCTGTTCAATCCCTAAACCAGCATTGAAATTTTTTTCTCCTCCTATTTGTTAGTAGGTGGCATAGTGGGCAAAAAACCCATACTGAAAACTGTTTTCACCGCTAGTTTGCCATATGATCCAGCGGTGATAACCCACCAACCCGGCGTTGGAAATAGTTTTCACTGTTGGTTTTTGCCCTAGTGTGTGTCGTCTGCTTTCAAACCGGCGGTAAAACTTCTTTTCTCCATCAATTTGTTTAGTAGGTGGCATACTAGACAAAAAATTGGTTGTAAAATTTAGGGGTGGGCATTTGGGTAACCCAAAATTTTTGAGCCATCTAATTCGGATAATTGGAAGTTTAGGCATTAGAAATTGCTACCTGATGTTAGCCCCAAAAAAGTATTACCCTAAATTTTGGGTACCCAATAATTTTGGTTCGGGTTTTATCCGATATACCTGAAATTGATAAAACCAATAATTTTGACAAAATTTCAGTAGCATTTTAAAACAATAAACAATAGTCCTCCAAATCACTTCATGTGTTCATATCAATTAACAACAAATCAATGATCAAGGTAGCATAGAACTACATTGAGTCATACCAAATAAAAGATTTAAACTACATTGAACCATTTCATATCTTCATATTAGAAATAGAAGAGCAAAATTTTGAGATATTTTAGGTAGTTCAGGTACTGGGGAACATTACCCGAACTAAGAGCATATCCAAGAGTTTCCAAAACCCACTTGAGAGCAAAATTTTGAGATATTTTAGGTAATTTAGGTAGTTTAGGTACTGGGGAACATTACCCGAACTAAGAGCATATCTAAGAGTTTCCAAAACCCACTTGATTCTTTTGGCAAGATTGGAAAAACCTGCTCTCCAACAACTCCCTATCTCAACCCCTAATCTTCCAGTACTTGAAAAATCAAACTCGTCGCACTGATAAATACGCACGGTATCCATCGTGCCAATCCGAAGGTGGAAAGACATGGCAAAAATAAGAAGTAGGACAGGGTTCTAGATGCAAATGTACAAGACAGAAAACGTATAAAAGTGGTTGCAGCGATTTAAAAATAGTTTGGGATTACTGATGTAAAATTACCCTCTATCTTTTATGAGAGAGATTTTGAAAACTGTTGGAGGAAGCCAACAAATATGTATCAAACTTTTTTTAGTCACTTGGAAAACTCATTAATTTACCAGATGTTTTTTTAGAATCTGTTGGAGATGCTCTAAATTCAGGTTTTTATAGTTACTATCCAAAATTATGATCGGGTATTTGGGGCTAGGGTTTGGGTAATTCAAGGATTGGATATCAGGTATTTTACCCAACCCTAGTAAAAAATTGTTTTCACCCCTAACTTGATAACCACCACAATTTTCACCGATCAGATCATCCACTAACTCGGCAGTGAAAACAATTTTCACCACAGGTTGTTGGTTCTACTGCAAGCCTTCTTCTTTCAAACCGGTGGTGAAGAATACCACCACCGGTTCTAACTGAACCCGCGGTGAAAACCATACTGAAAAATGATTTCAGTAGTAGTGATCTTACATAGAATAACTAGACAAAGACTAACTAATTCGTGCTCTTTATTTGCCAATCTCATACCTAATTCTTAAGAAAAATATACATAGGGGAAAAGTGCATTTGAAGGCGGTCTACACTTTTAAAATCGCAAGCGACTTGGGCAAGTGTAATTGCGTCATGTCAATCCTCCATTACGATTGGTTCAGCATACAGCAACAACCTCAACCATGTGATGCAATTTATTTAAATATAGGGTATACATATGGCAAAAGAAAATATGCACAATCCAAAGAGATATCAGAAATAAAATGACGTAATTAAGTACATCAATAATGGATGCAATAGTACCACAAAATTACAAATTACAATAATGAATAATATTTGTGGGTTGCAATATAGGCATAGATGCAGTGTTTTTGTTCAGCCCGCAATAGGGCAATAGATTTGATGAAATTGTTTGGGATCGCCAGGGATTTCTCACTGCCGGCGAACTGGAAACGACACACACTCAGAAAAGCTTGAATGCTTGATGAACTCGGTGTTTTTGGTGCTGTCAGCTGGCAGCGTTTTCTGTTGTTTATCTTGCAATATAAAGGAAACTTACAAGGAGCTATTCTCCTGACTGCGCGGCACGAGCATCACTGTGATCATGCCATCCCATGACCACGCATGAGCCTCGCAGGACTCGGACGTGCCTCCGCATGAACTAATCACATGCGTCAGGCTTACAAGAATTCGACTGACAAAACTGACGAAATCTGACGAAACTGAAAGGCAAAGACAGACCGACAGACTCTGAAACGAAAACGAAAAACAGAGTGATGGTGACCAGCTGGAGTAGATCACCAGAAATAGCCTCCACGTAAGAATACAGTACCAGATGATGCACCTGAACGGAAAGACAATGGCATCCTCGAATATCTTCAATCACTGATTATTTTTGGCCACTTCGTTGCATATTTGTCATCTAAATAGTTGCGGTTGGCGTTGTCCTTCAATTCTTCTACCAAGAACTTAGTTACTTCATCTGCTTGATTACCAACACTGAGATGCAACTCCTGGAGACTTTTAAGAGTCTCAATGCCATAAATCCCTTCGAAGGCTTGAAATCTCATATCAATCCTCTCAAGTGCTGGCATTACGTCTTCTTCTGTAACTGCAAAGCTCAGCCTTGGCACGAGAGTTGCAAAGAAGCGAAGCAGCTTTAGACTCTCGAATCCTCCAGGTGGAACAATGATCTCCCTATCAGTAAGCAGTTTATTTTCCTCAAGGATGTCCACTATGTCTCGATCATCCTTCCCTGCAGTGAGGGTAAAGGTGAGACTGAATAGTTTGGGCAGGTTCTTGATGAGCTGGAAAGTATCGGTTCGAAGAACTGTCACTGAAAGTGTTAGCTTGTAGAGATTATTGAGATCTTCAATCCACTTGGGTGGCTTTTCCATCTTGCCAGACAGCTCCAGCCCAACGAGGTATCTTGGAAGAGTGGACATGGAGTCCAGTTTGTTGATAAAGTCAGAGCCCTCATCATTGATTGCCAGAATCTGCAGACCACAGCTAGAGAGATACTCAATAGAGGAGAGTAATTGTTTGAATAGCTGATCACCCTCCTGTATGTTAAGCTTGTAAATGGCAAGCTTTTTTAGCCCCGTGAGCTGATGAAGGCTTGCTATAGCTGCTGAGTCCTTATTGATCTCAATCCCTGACAGTACACGAAGTGCTTTCATGGGCTCCTTATTCTTCTCAAGTGGCAACTTCAACGCCTTCTTTGGGTTTTTACTCCCTCCAAGCAAGCTACGAAGACGTTTGAGCTGGCCAAACGCTCTGGGAAGCACCTCAACTCGTGTCTCCCTTATGTCAAGAGTTTCCAGATACTGGAGCTTCTCAATCTTCGATGGAATCTCATGAACCTCTGTTCGTCGGAGGCTTAAATACTTGAGCACTAGCATTTTACATATGTCATTCAGATATTTATCTTTCATACCCTTCCAACCCTCAAGGTCCAGCACTTGAATTATTCTATTATTGAATGAATGGAAAGTAAGTCGTCCGTTCTGGCTTCCAAACACTGTCAGTGACCGCACTTGAGACAAGTTCATGCCTTTTGTTGAATTCCAATCCTTGGAACCACTGCTTTGCATGGAGAGTCGACGGACTTTGTTGCTAGGAGTTGGCATCATCCAATGGCCGCCAACAACAGTAATAAAGTTCTCTTCGCTTGACTTGGACACAATATACTCAAGAATCATGTCATGAACTTTAAAGGATTTTACATTTCCATTGCTGCTGTGATCCACAGGACGTATTATCTTCCTTCTTATGAGTTGATTAAAGTATATTTCTGCAACTTCCTCTGCACTCTTCCCTTGCTTCTCAGTGACAAAAGATTCAGATATCCATCTCCTGGTCAGACGCTTCTTACTAATTTTTGAACCTTTGGGAAATATGCTCAAGTACAATGAGCAGGTCTTGAGATCTGCTGGCAAGTCATTGAAGCAATAATCGAGTATCTTTGTGACATCTTCTAGGGTAAGGCGAGCCACCTGCTCTGGAAATAATTTGTTAAGTTTACTATAATGGTCGTTGGTTTTGGATTGGTCCTTGCAGGCCACAAGGCCAGCCATGGTTACTATGGCCAAAGGCAGCCCCCCACAATACTTCCATATCTCCTCATGGACCTTCTCTTTTTCGCTGCCGTTGCTTTGGGATTCAGAAACACCCTGATCAAATAGACTTTTGGACTTGGGCTCACTAAGAACATTCACGGTATGCAGACGATCAGTTCCATCTCTTCCTGAGCACGCAGCACCAACAGCTTGAAATCTGCTAGTCACAATTACTTTACTGCCTTTACTGTCTTTTACATGCGGCAACCAATTTCTAATGTTCTCCCATGTTTCGACAGACCATATGTCATCAATCAAGAGGATATACCTGTGAAGAAAAGCCAAAAATACAAAGTGAGAAAAACGTTCTAGCTTATTTGTCTTTTGCATGAGAAGTCGTGACCAGCTAGATTTATGTGTCCGATAGATATTTATGTCGGCTTTACCCATAGAATATATAGTTCCTCCTAAATTTCTTTTTTGTAAAACTAATGTGGTATATATTTGATTCACTTAAAGGATTGCTATTTTGAGCAACTCCTCGTTGGTATAACAGGCTAGGCATCCTCATATTAAAATTAAGAAATAGAGAGAACACTACTGCAGAAAGGTTGGAAACCGATCTCTAAAGACGTGCCCAAACTTAGTTGTGTCTAGCAATCGTTTTCTAGAATTTGTAATCTGGCAAAAAAAAAAGGCAAAAAAATTGTATTAACTTAGGAGAGACACACCAGCCAACCCACGCCCCGTGCATCTCCAATCACGCAATTTTCACTCGAAAGGCTGAGAGGATCAAACTCAAGACATACGAAATACATGTGTGTGACCAAGGGGATCAAACTCAAGACCTTAGGCCTCGTGGGTTATTTTATTACCACTACACTAATGATGTGTTTGGTTCAGCTGTGAGCTGTGAGCTGTGGAAAAGCTGTAAGTTGTTTGGTTATCTCTCTTAAAACAACTCTGAAACTTTTCTATATGTGCACCCATTTAGAAAAGCTGAAAGTGAAAAGTGGGGTCCAAGGTGCTCCAAAAAATGTACTATATTGAATTTCAAATTATAAAAACTGCAAACATCGTCAAGTACAAAATTGTAGATCTCTTCGGAGTACTGTAACTTTGATATAAACTTTGTGTTCACATCACTTGATCTGAAAAAAGTTATGAATCTTATTAATTTGCGTCTATTTTGGAGGCGAGCCAAATTACCAACCATATCTACAAATCTATTTCTAGAGAAGTTTATGCTTCTAGAAATGCCTCCATTTTCGAAGGTCACCGGAAAGCCTTGCCAACTCTAAAATGCTATTTTAGAGGCGGATATGCTTTACAGGCCTCTAAATAGATTAGCCATCTCTAAAAATCAAATTGTTTTAGTTATGAGCTGGTTTAAAAGGAGGTACCTCTAAAATTAGTTTCTATATAATGAAAATAGCCTACTTGGGTATATCCTTACGGAAAAGAACGGACTACACTCTGACTCGGACAAGATCACAGAGCAATGACGACTAGTATAGTGCGACAGTGATGATACTAAAAATGAATTTGACTAAGGGCAGCTACAATGGGTAGAAGGCTTTCTCACTATAATTTTGTCCATATCAGCTATAAAACACAACAACACACATTTTAAGTTTCCGTGGAGCCACCTGTCATGATCTTAAGCACGCCACAGCCAACAGGTCGGGCCATTTCTTGTGCCGGGCTAGCCCGAAAAGCACGGCACGACCAACAGGTTAGGCTAGCCTAAGGCCCACTAAATGCCAATAGAGAGAGGAAAGGGAGGCCATGGTGGTGGTGGCGGCAGCCGGTGCACTTGTGCCTGCCCGAGGAGCAGCACTGCAACACTGCAGCAGCAAGGCGGCGAGCCGTGGAGCTGGGAGGAGGTGGCCGCTGCTGCTCGAGGCCACTGTGCTCCAGGACTCCATGCTCGGGTGTGGCTGCGCGTGGGGGCGTGGAGGAGGTGGGCGCCACTACCGCTCAAGGCCAGCCGCATGGGGGGCATGGAGATGCCGACTGTCGTGCTCGAGGATGCCGCTTAGGGGGCATGGAGGAGGAGGACTGGTGAGAAGAGAGACTCAGAGAGGCGAGTGCAGCACAACGTGGGGGAATTGGTTCTAGGGTTAGGACGAGGAAAGGTGGGTTATATACCCTCCCCATCTGGCGGGACGCTAAAGGGCCTCTTGTTGAATAGAGGGCCAGGACATGCCGCCCGACGTGCCTAGGGAGCGGCCTAGGCAAGGCTTGCTCCACCGGGCCAGGCCAAAAAAGTGGGCCTTGGGCTAGGCCAATGGGCTATGGGCTGCGTGGCCAACTATAGCAACCGAGCGCAACGCCCCTACCTCCTAGCGACAACAGCGAACTCACCTTGCACCCTTTCTCCCTAGTGCTGGCAGCCACCCACCCCACATTGCTTTGGTTGACCTTCTTCCCTAGTACTGACATTGTAGACAAGATTATAGGCATTGTTCCCACTTATAATTGAGAGCTCTATCAACCAAAGTGATTAAGATAAGATTAATGAAATTAGTGCATGTGTGAGCCACTTAGCGTGTTGCTTTAGGAGTTACCCTAAACTTAGTTGATGTTTGCACAACTCTTTGCTTACCAATATGCATGCACCAGGTGTTCTAATCCGGGGAATGTAATTCTTGCGAGCCACTCCATCAATTATTGAGGAGAGGCCTTTGGCATTTTGACCGAAGCTTTATTTTTTTTCGAGAACACGACTTCACGTGTATTTCATTATTAAGTAGAAGAAGCAAGTTACATTCCTAAGTCATCCATAGCGAGATGCCATATATGAGAAGGAACCTGACCGACAACCGAAAAGAATGAAACTAAAACTAGCCCCTAGGGTGCTCGCTATGACCGAAGCTTTATGGAGTGAAGATGACGGAGTAATCTAATAGAGGAAAGGATGATGAGACCTACATAAGCGTGCGGTAGGAACATTGGCTATCCATGGAGTTATCTGACTAGGAGCTTGACCTTGCTCGGATTTCTAACGAAGAATAGTGGAAAGCCTGTGATTTCATATACATCAGTTGTAGTTGTCGTATGAGATCGAGTTTGCATCCGCTACTACCCTATTTATATTAGATGTTACTTTCTCGCACCGTGTTGTTTAAATGGCTTTAGCCGTGTTGTTTAAATGGCTTTAGCTTTACTAGAATTGCATGTTTAGTTGATAGTATTGCATTGGTACCTACTCCCTCCGTCCTGTAATATAGCGTATTCTAGGATTCAAAATTTGTCCTCAAATATAATGCATTCTAAAAGACAGAAACCAGATTTGCATTAAATACTTTCCATTTATCAACCAATCACCAGTAATCGTGTTGATGATAGCGTCTTATTAGGAAACAAAGTGAGGGCACATGCATCTTTTGTGTCCTCTCTTAATCTGTCCTAAGATTTTTAGAATGCACTAAATTACATGACAGAGGGAGTACCGTCTAAAATGTGTGTACAGTAGAGATCGCAAGATATTGAAAAAACTAGGGCACATCTATAGATTTTTATGTGCCAAGTTGGTCATAGTTTTTAAGTCAACCCTAATTCACCCCTTTTCCCTCTTACGGTGTTACTTTCGTTTCACTCGCAATCACGTAACAACATAGCATCTTAATAAAGATTGTTTTGTCTAGCATCTCGCCTACCATAATTATTTAAAAACATTGTATATACATTGCATCAAATTGCTAAAATGGCACATCAACTTTACTCGTTCATGGTCTTAAAATCTTAAGTTACATACAAGTACTAAAAAGTTCATGGATAAATTTAGCGTGAATTAATCAAAATGATTATCTTTACTGTCTCTTTTCATTTTCTAAAAGTGGTAGAACTAGGTAATTTATAACATATATAGTGTACTTTATGGCCATTTAATTATTTTTAATAATAGCTCATATGTAACTAGACGTGTATTTGAGGGATGTTTATGCTTATCTTTATAATGGCAGATGTGGATAATTTAGAAGCAAATTAAAGATGCTACTTTGTATTATCTTTCATAATGGAAAGATATGTAATTCAAATTTATGAGTTACTATAAATTATTATTTTTATATTAGGAGAGGTTGGTGGCTTACTCATAGATTTAGGGGGCTATTCATGTTTTGATAATTACGTTTTTATCGTAATGGTAGATTGGATAACTATTTTTGAAATGGAATATATATCCATTGACTATTATTATATGTCATGACTAGAGTTGATTGAATTAATGGCTAGATGTTTCAGATTACAATGAGAACTTTTAGAATTTTCTTTTTTTGAACACATCTATATCTTATACTCTTATAAAGCAAAATTTCACAAGCTATTTCTCTTAACATGCAAGCTATCCAACTAGGCATACAATTAAAATCCACTAAGCAAAACTCCAATAGCTATTTATCTCAACATACAAGCTATCCAACTAGGCAATGCGCTATTACATACAATTAAAATCCACTAGCACATGCAACTGTGGTGTCCACGTCAGTAAGACACATAAGCATTTTGTTGTCCACATCATTATACTACGCAATCCACTAATCTGCCATTCCCGCAGCATCGCGCGGGGTATGCTTCTAGTATCTTAAATTGCTAAACCTCACTAGCAATTTCTCTCGACATGCAAGCTGGCCACCTCAACAATGCACTATCACATACAATTAAAATCCACTAGCATATGCAATTATGAAGTCCACGTCAACATGCCACGTAATCCACTAGTATTAATTTACCCCACTAGCAATTTCTCTCAACATACAAGCTGTCCACCTCAGCAATGCACTGTCACATGCAATTAAAATCCACTAGCACATGCAATTAAAATCAACTAGCATATGCAATTGTGAAGTCCATGTCAGTAAGACATATAAGCATTTCGTTGTCCATGTCAACATGCCACGTAATCCACTAGCATTAATTTATAATAGTTTATTCCTTCATATAAGTAATTATATATAGTATAGTTTCATTCGAAACCATCCGCAATTCCCGCAGCAATGCGCGGGGTATTCTTCTAGTACTCTTATAAAGCTAAACCCCACTAAAGATTTCTCTCAACATGCAAGCTATCCACATCAACAATACACTAGAACTTGCAATTGTAGCCAACTAGCACATGTAATTATAATAGTTATCTCTTCATCCACTAACATGCATTTAGCTGTCCACATCGATGTGTCAAACCATTCACCAAAATTTATTTAAGATAGTTTCATTCATATAACTATACATATAAATAGTCTAATTTCTTTTTAAATTATCTGAAATCCCCGCAGCAACGCCCGAGGTATTCTCCTAGTTTATTAGAATTGATGTGTGGAGGCTTCATGGAGGGTTTCTAATTAGTTATATTGAGGTATATGTTGTTATCCTTTGCATTACACCTCTTTGGTTCTTTAGTATGTGTTTAGTTGAAACACAAGCTTAAGTTGGATCAGTTCTCATTTTATCCTTTTCTATGACATCATGAATATATATTTTGGCTTTCAATATTTATTCATGTTCTAAATTGATTCTAGTGCTTATTGAATCTTTTCAAAATTTTCCATTTGTATTTTACTAATACATAGTTTTTAGGTCATAGGCTACACACTTAGACCTTGTTTGTTTGCGTTTTTGTCACTTTTAGACTACTAGCTTTTAGACCTTCCAAAAGCCGAACAACTCTCGTAAACCAAAAAGCCCAAAAGCTCACTATAATGAGCTTCTAGCTTTTGGCTTCCATGAGCTTTCTGGCTTTTAGAAAGTCCAAAAGCTGAGGTACAAAAGCTCCCAAGAAACCCAAGCAAAAAGAGCCTTAGTCCTACTATGGCATAAAAATAGTCATTTCAACATACACTGGGGCACATGTTGAAATTGTAATGGTGGATGTGGATAATATAGATCCAAATTCAAGGAATTATTACATTATGTATTTTTTATAATTATGAAGATAGGCATTTTTTAGAAAATAGAATAGATCCATCGGATATTGTCTCAATGAGGATTGGAGTACTCCAAATTAAAGGACGGGTATTTGTAATTATTATGAGAATCGCCACATTCTTTACTATAATTATTCGTGCTACTGTTTTTTGTATTTGGTGTTGGTATTGTCTTTGCTCTAAGTTGTGTGCGTGGATAATCAGTATATGCCTCACTATAGTAATTCGAGCTTCGCCTAAGTGTTGAAAAGTTTAAACCATTTTTGGATCCCACGATTTAAATTATAGCCACTAAATTTTAGCTCTTGTGGTTTCAAACAGTTAGTCTTAAGCAAAGTTATCCTAAATGTTAAACGGAGATCACTTATTATTTAGCCATTATTCAGCCTAAATGGCCACTTCAACGGGCTAATATAAACGGTCATTTAAATAGGCTAAATGGCAAATCAAACAAATGGTGTGCCGCTGTGTAGCGTTTAAACGGCGTGTAAATGGACTAAACGACTTTTTAGACGAACAATGCTCTTAAGTACTGTCTAAAGTTTATTAGCTAATGTAAGGAAAATGAACCCTAGGTCCATTTACTTTGGATTTTGGTGTTTGATGACCAACACAACCAAATTGGACTAATGAATTTGCAAGTGTTTGTTTTGTAGTCCAATAGGGTGCAAGACGTGACTTGGACAAAGGCAACGTGATGATCCGATGATCAACACCTTAAGCAAGACCTTAGAAGCTCAAGACAAGACCCAAGACATCAAGCAAAGTCCAAGCACGAAGATAGGAACCAAGCCATACGCAAGATCGCGAAGAAACGAGCTCTTAGAGGCGACCGGACGCTGGACCGGACGCTGGCGGTGAAACGACCGGACGCAGGGAAGCAGCGTCCGATCGAGTACAGAGAAGTTCCAGAACGGCGAAACTACGACCGGACGCGTCCGGTGGCAGGTGACCGGACGTTGGAAGCGTCCGATCAGTTGTTCGCGGTTCAACGGTCGGGACGACCGGACGCGTCCGGTCAGGACGACTTCAGCGTCCGGTCAGTAGCAGAAAAGCGGGATTTCGTCCCCAACGGCTACTTTCTCAGTGTGGCTTATAAATACAACCCCCAACCGGCCAAATGAGAGTGTGGAGCTGAGGAAACATACCAAGGGTGTTGGTACACCAATTTTAGTGATCTCCACTTGCATAGTGCTTAGTGATTCATCAGGTGATTAGCGTAGGTGCTTTGCGAAGTGCTTAGGTTGATTAGACCACCGCTTATGCGCTTGCTCTAGGTTTAGGCCTAGTGTTTAGTGAGGTTTGCATACCTCTTACCACTCGGTGCTTGCGAGCACCATCATTGTACATTGGAGGGGCTTGAAGTCTTGCGAGATCACACCAACCGCGTTTGTGGTGTGGCCGCCACCGTGTACCGGAGGGAACAAGGCCTGCGGCATTTTGGCCGGAAGCTTGATAGTGAAGACGGTGGGGAGCATCCGGGA